CATGTAATGCTTTTTGGTAAACCTGTTATCTATCGTAAATACATCACATTTGACTATGTTGTAGTGCAACCATTTTGGCCTCACTTTTTTGATATTTGTAGTTATCGAGAATATTAATGAAATCATAAAATCTAAAATCCGTTTTTGTGAATTTTTTGTTGTAGCTGAATTTAAGGGACAGCGTGACATAAGGCAAAAGAAGTACGGTCGCCTCTTAGTTTATGACAGGGTTTCTTGAAAGGGGACTCCGGCCTCCTAGGATGCCACGGATCGGTTATCTGGGAGCACGAACAAACAGATGGAAATGCAAATATTTAATATCTATGTATTTGTATAGAAGAGAAGAAAAAAGGTTCTGAGGGTCTTCGGTAGTTTAAAAAGCATTGGCATGGAACATAAACATGAATTACATTCTTTCCCAGGGATATACTATAAAATTTAGCAGTTTTATCATTTGTGTTCTCGTGGCAGCATTATCTTTCACTGCATCGTCGTGATCATCCCGCTGTATAACAATACTTGCTAACAATAATTGACTGTTCTCCACCGGGTGTATATTTGCGCACAAAGTGTGCACCAAGATCGCGCACAACCCGAAAATAGTATGTTTACCAGGTTATGGTTCAGGTTGTGCGCCATTATGGTGCACACATTTGACGAAAAACACTAATGCAAATATCAAGCCGTAAAAAAAATTGCTCAAGGCTGCAAACTCCACACCCATGTAAAAATGATGGGCAATGACCCCAAGATGAATAATCACAAATAAAAAAAATTCATGTCTGAAAACGAGATTGGGCCCAAAAGGGCCCCTTATCTGCCGGACTAATACAGTATTTGAGTCTTGACAAGCCCGATAAAGCATATTATTACGTAACAAAAACAAGTTTTTCAAGGTTTAAGAATGAAGTGTCGAATATCGCGTGTCTAGACTGACAAACATCGATCGATCCTACAAGACTTCCGCAGTACGCGATAGTTATTGTCTAACTCCAAGAGTAGTGTGATAACTTTTATTCGCAATGGTAGCAGTGGCATCAAAATGCCCAATTTGTTCTAATTCCAAGCAAGCGAAGAATCGCGTTTGGATAATACTTGGCAAGGTTCTTGAAGAATTTTCAACATCTACTGCTAAAAAAATGGGAACGCCCTTCATCTGAATTGTATTATTTAAATGATTTTTAAATAAATGATGAAACATTTACTCTGGGTAAAATTAAATAATCAAATCAACAACTTAAATGGAACCTAAAAGATACAAATTTTGTGTCGATTTTATTAATAATGAACGATGGATTTTATTGTATGCGTGTGTGCAGTTATCTGCACATTCAGTGCCCATTAGTTTTTGTGTAGGACCTTATTACCGATCAGTCGATCGCGATCTATTCTGAATATTTTAGTCGATCGCGATCGAAAGCAGGTTGGCGAAAGCACCCCTGTTATACTCATGACAGGCCAGAGGTCTGTATCATATATGTCCAATCTAAACGCAAAACGAGAATCAATATTAACAAAATCATGCGATTACGACTAGAGCTTTGCTGCTATAGTTTCGACATTCTTTATTTCGCAGGCTTTGGTATACACTTTTGGGGAATATAGTGTGCAATTGTATGAGATCCAGGAAATAATCATTCGTATAAATTACTTGCCGTGTCACTCAGGAAATCCGCGAATGTCTCATCTTACTCAGGTCAGGAATTAGCCATATTCGATGAATGGAAATATGGAAATAGAAACACGTAAAAGTTTGTCATATCTAAATATATTTATTATTTACTTGTGGGTATTATTGAAATTCAGAACTATTTACCTGAACCCCACAAAAGACGTACATTCCGATAAGGTTTTAATTTGTAATTATTATGTATAATAATGGTAACGTAACTACATAACCGTGATGGCGAACCACTGACCCGCGGGTCACAAAGCGAATTGTCATCAAAAATATTTTGCAACCCTTAAAAGATTCGACTTAGTATAACACGTATGCAAATTCCGTGCTTTCGCGCATTAATTCTATAAAACCGAGAGCCTGGAATCGGCTCAGCCCTGGTATTTATACCTGCTACGTATGCAAGGCTCAAAAGCACATTATAGGGAAAGAGTGCTATCCCCTGTGTGTTCTTCTGTATTATTTAACGTACTATAGCGAATTGAACCCCAACTGACTCCTTCAGAGGTCAGTCAAATAAGCACATAATTGATTACAATGCCAAATGTTCGTTCGTTGTAAGGTTGCACGATCGAATTGGATTGTTTTAAATAACAGATATAATGAAATATACACTTGAATCCTTAGCGTAAGTATACGTGATGAAACCGAATTTTCTAACCCACAAAGAACGATAAAACAAACACTTGAGCGAGGGTGGTAAATACGTCATCAACCTTTTCGCATTGAACGTTTCACGAAACTATCAAATCGGACAACGACCTTGTTTCAGACAAAGAACATTCACTATTTACTATGAGTAGTGAAAAGTATTAAAATACGCAGTAAATATCCTTATGCACTCGCCACAACACAATAACACGAACACGATTTATGATTTTTACGAAGAGATGCGGACTGTTTGCATATTTATGACCCATAGTCTTCTTCGGTATAGAAATATAATTTTTGAACCACTCATTAAAAATGTTCGCCATCCCGCCAATATAACAATAAATACTTTATACATAAGAATGACAATTCCCTCGAATGAGCGCAGATTTCAAAACTTCGATACAACGAACGATATTTCCGAAAATGTACAGTATAATTTGAAGATTCAATTTTACCCTTATCTTAAAAACCACTTTGTATAAACAAATACTTTTGGCGTCATTTTACTGTTTAAAGTGCATTACCTATGAAGATTTTAAACCAGCTGGACGATTATTCACTGCACAAACAATAAATCACAAAAAAGATTCATTATGCCAATCATCATAAATATTATATACCGCAACCGTACAGTAGGTGATACAATTGAGTTTAAAGTTTTGCTGTATAATATGTAAGTTTACTAGGACCTGTATTGATATAATGCGCATGGCCGAATATATCTTAACTTCGATCGTTCGGCACGCTCTTCGTTAATTAAATATACAACTCTGGTTGTACTGTCACGAAAGCAGAAGCATTTCGTTTACAGTCCATTTAAAGTCAGTGTTCATACCACCCCAATCTGTAGTTCATTCGTCTAGTATCTATTGTTTGCAACATCAAGTTACATTCAATTTCGTGAATATCACAAAATGCAACACATTCTAGAAAATGGTGACCGTACATTTGAACCCATGTTCATTTGAACCCATGCGTATATCCACGGGTTCAATCTATATGCGGGTGCTAAAACCCATGGGTTAGGGTTAGTATGGGTTTAACTATCCGTGAAACAAAAAAAATTCCATAGGTGCAATAGCATACGGGTGCAATTGTCATGGGTTCAAATGTACGTGGGTTCAAATGTAATGGAACCTAGAAAATATCTATATATATAACTGGAACCTAGATAAAAAGTGATGAATGAAATAAAAGTGGAGAGGTGAGAGACCACTACTGCTCCAAGTTTAGAAGGTAGATGACAATGCTAGAATATTGAGCAATACGATGTTAGTTGTCGAAGTAGAAATGTGACACCTAAATAATATATTGTGCTAAAATGCACTTCTTGTACGATCTGACTATTATTAGGAAACCTCGAGGGATATAAATCTGCAAGGTATCCATTTTAATATTTATCGTATACAGACATCGGACATCGGGTGGTGCGAAAATTTTAAGTCAACACCGACAAAACTATAAATAGCTTCCTATTAATGTATTACGCCTATATATCTGTATTGCATATTCGAAAAACTTTTGCGTGAGGTTTACTCAGGATTCTGCGGCGTTCTTTCACAATAGACAACTAGAGCGTTTCAGTTCGGCCATGTTTAAATTCTATGCAGGGCAGTTTTTAGTTGCGATTTTTGATTTTGTCTGTTTTTTAAAATTTGCTAAAGCCAGTTATATCGGTACGAGTGCTTTGCTTTTTTTGGGTAAGCTGATACCGATTGACTCATACAAAGTAGCGGAAATATATAAAAATAAATCTGTTGCACACAGATACTCGTGTCAACTCAGTGCGACTCTTGAATAAAGAATAAAGGGCAATTTTGCATCGAAATCCCAGGAGGAAATGCAAAACTAATGCTATTTACGACTATGTGGCAAATGCATATATGTATTTATTCATTTAAGATATTTACAACGAAATATGCATACCATTGTATATACATTCCTCTATATATATCCTACTATTGCATATAAAAGTAGCATGCATATTTTCATGCGACATGTCAAGGCTGCACAAGCATCTAAATGCCCTGAATGCCACGAATGTTCTCGAAATATACTATATAACAGTCAGCGAAGTTTTCTATTCCGGTAACCAATTGAAACTACGTTGGTGATTAACGTGGCTTAAAAGCCAGAACTACCCAACTTGCCGGACTGATAGTCGGAAAATGCTCGGTCTATATGAGGCTCAAAAGGTTGAGAGTAGCGGAAAAATCCTGAATAATAAACTTTTTTGACGTTTGAAAATCGTTCGAAGCATGGATAATGCACATAGTTTTAACTAGAAAATCGCGAAAAACGAGGATTTAATATGATATTTAACATATATATTATCTTAACTATCTGATCAGCTAAATTTCAAAAGCAGACGCACTCAAATGATCCTAGAAATCAAGGGGGGGGGGAAGTAAATGTTCGAGTTAGGTATTTTGTTTCTTTGTTTCGCTATCGCTTCCACTCGTACTCGTATGGCTTACTCTGTAACGAAATTGGCAAAATTCCATTTAAAATGTCACTCATTCATTAGGACACAACATTTCCAAGAATAAACAATATAGTGCTCTCCATATTCTGTCGAAGGCTGTGATTGGTTGGCCTCTGGCGTAATCCAATCATCGCAATCGGCTTTTTGTTTTCAATGTGATCAGTGTACCGTGAGAGACCACAATTCACTGCTGTTCAACCTAGTCGTATCCGCCTAAAACCAGCAGAGGCGTACGTCGATATGGAGGGTGCAGAACGTACGTCGATGTTGAGTGTGTAAGCACGCATAGCATAAAAACAAGGGCTTAGCAGAAATCTTATGCATCAGCGTGTTGTTAAACTTCGGTAGGTAGCGAGTGCGTAATTTCATTAATCATCCACACTAACTAGGTTCGGTCGAACTTTCGTCATAACCTACTTGTAACTCGGCTAAATATTAGGTCAATTAAATTGCAAACGTTTCAAAACACAATAGAGGAATGATTATTTTTGCAATGTATTGTTGAGTGTATTCCCGAAAATAAGATGATTTACGAACCGTATGCGCGAGTCTAAAATGTGAGAGAGCTATCTAGGAAAGTTCGTTTGGCCTACAAATTAACTATATCATTTACAGCAATGCATTGGAAAATTATATGGTTTGACAATTATAACACCTTTGTTATTGTCGAAGACGTGTTTTTGGTATGCATTCTTTCAGACCGCCGTTTTAAACCCAAAAATGCAATGACATTGCGTCTTTTTTTTGGAGTACCAAAATATATCTTGTTGTGGTATTTGGTGTCGATTCTTCAAAAGGTCATTACATTTGAATCTATTTTACAAAAGCAATTTTTTGTTTTGTTTTCTGATTTGTCTTCGATATAATAAGCAGGCTTCAATTACATCTCTAATTCTATAATATCGGTATTTATATCAACATATTCATTTAAATATTTAGTTTAATATGTAATCATCTGATTTTTTAAATCTTGTCCTACGCTGTTCAGTTAAATCATGGAAATGTCCAAGACTTCGACAAAGAGAGCGATCCGAAAGCTTTGGATTAGCTTCTTTCTGTATTCATTTGGTGTCTTCATGATATATTCAGCTTACGGGACTCTACTTAGCCTCCAATCAAGCATCAACGTCGTGGATGGATTAGGTCAGTTCATTTTCGATTCAGTTTTTGCCTGTAGAGTGCAGTGTAACTTGAATTTATCGATTACATGTGAATGACACGCAGCTGTTTTGAACGTGGATAGGATTGGAGCCACTTAAGTGCATAAAGACCGAAAGCGATATACTGTACTCTTAATACTTCTATGTTAATTTTTTAGGTACCTTCACTGTGGCCATTATTTACGGTACTGCTGTATTCTTCACTCTATTTTGTGTACCCCCAATATATCGAAGATTTGGGGCAAAGAAATGCGTTTGTTGGTGTGAAATTACGTATGTCATATACACAATTGCAAATATTTATCCCAGTGAGTAATTTTGGTAAATTTTGTACATCTATAGATAAGATGCCGGTTTTCTTAATCTTCAGTAATGTAATCTTATCTTGACTATGAAGTTGATCGAAAGGCAATAACAAACAATTATTTCTGTCGACCCCGCCACCGCATGTTTCTTTAATTTGACAACGCAGTGTTCATTCAGTAATTACATTGAAGCCAATAGGGTCTTTGGGCATTACCTAAAGCGAATAGGTTATTTGAGCATCATAGACACTAATGTTTATTTTTGTGTGGGATGTAGTTGAAACGGCGTCGTCTTAAGAAGTATAGCTACAGCAACCACAATTCCTACTTGATTTAGTATAAATAAGAGTATGTGTACATGCGAGTGGGTTACGATATGCGACTGAATTCAGTGAATACCGCGTAGGATGTATTTGGGCGATCGACAGAACTTTTTGGCTTCAAGTTTTTGTTTGTTTTATTTTGCTGACTGTTAACACTTTCAATGAGACTAATTTTAAAACCACAAACCTAGCCTTTGAAGCGGTAGTTATCTATGTATTTTTTTTTACCGAAATCAACCATTGTCCACCCGTCCGAAACAGATTTTTAACTATGTTTTCTTATTATTCTAGCATTTTACACAATGGTTCCGGCATCCTTTATTGTTGGCATGGGAGACTGTATGTTATGGAGCTGTATGCCTTTACTTAACTCGTTCTTTAGTAAACGATATACCTCAATAATCGGGAAAAGCGCTGGTGTCGAATCAAGATTTTCTGGATATTTCTACGGAATATTTCAGATGTCGAAGGTAAGGGATGTGTAATTTTTAAAGTTGGAATTTAAAACTGGATATTTTGAAGCTTAGTTTTTCATACATTTTTGGAGCTCCCGAAGTATGTGCAACAATATGACGCTCAACCTGAAAATAATACGTGTACTAGGTAGGGCTGGGCATTTCGATTCGAATCGAATAGAAAATTATTCGAATCGGTTCATAGCTAAATTTTGAATCGCCGCCATCTTGTTTTTATCTTTTCGCTAATGGTCGAGGTGAATTCCCCATTTTTTTTTTCATTGGAGTCATATTTTTTCAACGAAATTCTAACATATGACTATTTTCTGTAGTAAGTTATTGATAAAACGTGTTTGTTATTCTGTGTGATTTATTCTATGTCTTCAATAAATCATTTGTTGAGAGGACCAATTACTATAATAAAGTCGCTTACAGTTATATATTTTCAAGTATTCGAGATTCGATTCGATTCAAAAAAATTACTCGATTTGATTCTGAAATCACAAGGTATTTGAAAATGCCCAGCCCTGGTACTAGGACAGGGTTCAGGTTGTGCGACTTCTTGGTTCACATACTCCCGGAGCGCCAAATTTTTTTGTATATACTTTTATATATTTTTTTGAATGTTACAATAATAATCTGAAATAGCTCGTCTTGATCTATTGTTGGGATTATATATAAAACTGTTCCTTTATTACGTTAAAGCTGTTCAGATGGGTATCACTAAGTGGTTATGTAACATAAAATATATACAAAACTTCGTAGAATGTCTTTGTTTATACTAAAATATTGCCGTAAGCATTACAGTATTCGTAACTTACGACTGCCCAAATAAATATTATATTTTTTCGTGTGAACATAAATAGCCCAATCTTATTCACGTTATATTATCGCACCACGCAGTGTCATATATCTTGTTTTTGAAAGGACAAACAGTATATATGACATCATAAACCATGGTAACTTTACGTGGATACAATGTGTATACGCCCTTGGTTGTATGATTGGCGTCCGTACTTACTTCTGACGAAAGTTTCTTCCTAACAAAAAGTGTAACCACAATTCTATAGTATATTTAGGATTATTATTCTATAATTTTATTGTTGGAATTCAATTTATCAATTTTATGAACGAAATTGAGGGGTTATAACAAAATTAAAATGTCTAAAAATACAGCCGAAAGAAAATATAAACAAATATTTCAAACTACATATTCAAATTTTTTCAGATATCTGGAAATGTCGTATCATACACTGTTTTATACGCCTTCAACTTGAAGTCAATTCCAGAAGCAAATGTTACATCCGCAAATACAGAAGGAAACTCATCAATATTTGTGTCGGAAGAAATATTGCCACTCGAAACAATAGACTATCAGCACTGTGGAGCAAACGATTGCCAGAATGCCACAATTGTGAGCAACTCATTGGGCCAATACGTACCAGCGAGTAAATTGTCAATATACATGCTAATGTCAATTTTGACTCTATTGTGTGTTGCTGCGATTATTATACATGTTATTTTCATTCCGGACACCGGGGAGCACGGTATGTCCCGACGAGCGTCTAAAGCTTCCAATTTAAAAGTTACGGAAAAGGACTCAGCGCAAGTAGATGGGTGTAATGATCGTAATAACAATGATGAAACTGACAAAAAGAATGTAAACAAGGATAGTACTAATGGTTGCACCAAAACAGCCGATGCAAACCTAATTGTTTGTGAAGAAATGGCAATCGATCCGAAATTACTCAAGAGAAAAATAAAGCAGGTTCGTATTCGTTTGAATTTACACAAAATGGTAAAGAGGTAAAATCGAATTAGATTTTGCTTTTAATGATATATATATATATTTATAATGATAAATATATATATATACCGTCATTGCCGTGTTTTCCCGAAAATAAGACCTAGCCTGAATATAAGACCTAGCCTGATTTTTAAAAATGATTTTTATATAAGCCCTCCCCAGATAATACCTAGTCAATAACGCGAATTTTTTTTCACCCAATCGATAGCAAGAAATATCCCATACACGTTTTAAATGATTCATACTCTACGATTTGTACGTTTTGCAGTTATTTTGAATAAAAACGTGTTATTTATAAGTGAATGGATATCGGTTTTCAAATTTTGTATACCGGTATTTGAACATCTCGTAATTCTCTACTTTGTAATTTTGTTTTTGATAAATGAAAATTGAGTCATCCCCCGAAAATAAGCCCAAGTGTTATTTTTTTCGCAAGAAAATTGAAATACCGTGAAAAACACGGTATATATATATGGTTTTATATGATTAATGAATGGTACGCATTTCTATCTTATTTGTCTTCCCCCGATGTTGAATCAATCCAACAGGTTATGTCGAACGTATGAAGTATAGAGGTGACCCAGCTTGTATTTATGGTTACTTCAGTAACAGTAACTCCTTAAATATCTCTCAGTTAAATTCTCTTGACCGGAAAAAGCAGACCATATTGGTGTATGCCTTCGTGAAAGCTGAGCAACTAACAATGTACCCCTCCAGTCACATTTTACAATATGCATTTACGCGCGTCTAGACTGAAAGTATATTTATATAATACTCAATGCCTTTGATTAAATATCTGAAGTCGAATAATATGTTTGAATAGGCCTAGCTTATTTGAATTAAATTTTAAACTCATATTATTGGTTTCTGTTGATTGGAACAGCGGGTGTGGCACGTGTACATTCTGATAGACTTTGATGACTTACCATTATGTTTCGTGAAATAAAAGATTTCGATAATGTTACACGTTTTTTTCTCAAATCTATTTTTTTGTCTAGAGCAAAAGCAACCTCGCATTCACTATTTCAACTCTCAAAGATGTCGTGAAACACATCATCAACTTAAAGCAACTACTTATGACGCCGATAATATTGTACACCGGCTTGACATACGGTTTCCTAACATCTGAATTAACTCGATCATATTCCTCTTGTGTATTTGGTGTTGCGTCGGTAAGATTTTTTCCCCTATTATTGAACAGTTTTAATATATCTTGATCAAAAGTGATTCCTAGAATATGTGAACCTTAATTATTGTTTATAACAGAGGTGGGCAACCCCTGGCACGCGTGCCAAACTTGGCACGCAAGCTCATTTATTCGGCACGCGAGCGAGGCCTCGGAAACGAGATCATTCTCCTTTAGATAAAAAGTTTTAAGACTATGAATTATCTGATGAAAATAGGTGTTCGTTTGTTCATTATCGAATGTTAACAATCCTGTCCATTCATGACATATGGCTACGAAGAATAAATTATGACGTAACAAATGAGTGATCTCTCGCGAAATTTTGTCGAGAAAAGCTCAGCATTCATTTGGCTACACTCTTGCGTAATATAAATCGTCTGTGCCACCCTTTTTCTTCATTTCTGCTTGATTTAAAAAGTTGCAGCCCACGTTGGTTATAGTCACTTGCTACCTTACTGTTATTAATTGATTTCGAAAGAAATATAAGCGATTAGGGGAGGTAACAAGAACTATTGTTTGCGTGATTGGGATGCCATTCCCGAAAATTTTCCGTGTCTTGAAAACTTTGCAACTGCATTATTCTACAATTCTTCATATTTTCATCTACATATGCTTGTGGATCTCTGTTCTCAGTTATGAACTTCATTAAGTCTCGCAATAGGAATAACCTGTAAGATGAAACCAGTACCGATAGTCCGTGTATTTATTTGAAAGTTAGAAAATATAAACCCAATATAAAATATCTATCAGCGTTAATGCAGCAGCAAAGGTCTCACTGATATAGAATAAAAAAAAGTAATCAAGTCTATTTGTCGGACTGATATTTTCCCGAATAGTGAATCTGTCAGTACATGTTTAAAAGGTTTATTATTGTGTATGTTTGCTTTGAAAGTAGCAAAGATATGTTTTTAATTTTGGTCGGCACGCGGAAGAATTTTGTCGGTAAATTTATCCGATTTTGGCACGCGACCCGAAAAAGGTTGCCCACCCCTGGTTTATAAGGAAAGCGGATTATGAGTATTATTTTGATACTAACAAAACCTATAGAGCGTCGTAGGTCTAACAATTTTCAAAATACAACTTTTGTCCATCAGCTCATCTGATATGTGATACAAGAAAGACGACGCAAAACGTTCTTTGTAAATTGTATTGAAATATGTTTTGTGGGGTCGTTTGCCTTTGTCTCAATTCAGTTTAAGATGTACGAAACGCGCCAATTTTAAAGCACCCACCTATTTTAAACTTTCAGGATGGTTTCATAAATATTTTCGTGTGTAAATTATTCTTTAAGCGCGATTTTGAGTCGTCATCCAACTTTCAACTGAGCGATAAAATTTGGGAATATTTGAAAAATTATCAACCGACGTCGTGCTAACGAACTACTTTTTGCTCTTGCAGGTGCCTATTCACATGACCTTCTATGGTATCGGCGCCACCATAGTATCAATCATGCTGGGAAAGTTTGGTAAAAACGTTCATCGCACTGCCTTCTTTATTATTGCAATGATTTGCGATGGCACTATATATGCTTACGCCCTCATTTGGTCACCGACGTCCGACACTTCTTACTGGTCGGTCATACCAATGTATTTAATACTGGGAGGAATGCAAGGAATATGGGTTTCTAACTCTCAAGGTTAGTTGGGAATATTTTAAATTATTACACATAACCGTCGCGAATTGCGAACAAATGTACTTTGCGATTTGATCTAACTTCTTCTTTTCGAAAACACATCGTTATTTCGTTGCGTAAGTTTGACAAGTCTCGACGAGTGATATGATTCTTCGAATGTCGTGATTAATAACAAACTCGTTCTTGCGCTCTATTTAGCGTTCCAAAAGTAATGTGTACGATTTATGTAAAGTGTGTCATGTTAATGTTATGTAGTGACCTACATCAGAAAATATGGCGTTTAGGTTGTTCTTATCATAGCACATTCTTGTATTGTTATAGAGCTATAAGCTTTCTGAAATGGGAACTTATTGTTAGTAAGTTCAAATAAAAAAAAACGAATTCTTGAATATTAGAATCCATCATTGACTTCGTCAGAAAAGCGTGCCCACTACAACAATTATTTATTTTTAACAAATTTTTTTCCAATCCATATTACAGTTGTCCAAATCAAATATTTCCCCCATTGCCTCGACGTCGCTTGTTCGGTTTGGAACGTTTGGTTTATGCTTGGGATTGCAACACAATTTGCATGGAGCACAAGTTTTTGCGTTAGTACAAAAATCTACATTCAAATCGGAGTATTAATATTGAGTATGATCGGATACGGTAAGTTATTCCACTACTTCTTCGAGTGAAATTTATCGTTCGACCCACACATTTTTAATTGAGTACTCCCGAAGTATGTGAACCAATATGGCGGACACCGGAACCTAGTATGTGTACCAGGGGAGGGTCAGGCCATAATTTGATTCCAATTTTCCTCCTTTTAGTTCTATCACGATTTCGGGGACTAGCCAAGTGACTCCCGCAGTATTTGTACCTGAAATTATGGCCTAACCCTAACCTGGTACACATACTACGTTCCGGTGTCTTCTAATATCTTCTACTTCGGAAGTACCTGTAATTGTATCCAAGAATAGAGTTCTGCTTCGTTAGAATTCAGTGCCTGGATTCCGATCTGAAATCGTGAAATTTTCAATAATGAATTCAACGATTGTGTTATTGCGATTAGCTTGAGTCTTACCCATTTGGCGTTTAGCAAATGCAAGTTGCAACGTATTAATAATATATTGCTAACGTATCAAAAATTTGTCTTATTTAATTCGGAAGACATTTTTTGCAAAATTTGCGGATAATTTCACGAAAATAAGGTTTCATCTTTTCCTTATAGCTTCACTCGGCATGTTTGATAATAGTGTATGGTGGTGTATAAATACAGTATAACTAATCCAACCATAACAATTTATTGTTCCATTGAACTTTAGCTATCGCGGAAATACTTCACAGACGACAACTGAAAAGTCAGCGTCGCCCACATGGTGGAGAGATTGGCGAAGAATCCAAGAAGTCGCCAATTTGATTACGTGAAGCATTTAGTACAGACATTTTTGTTTCAACTTTACGCGCATAACTTCTTGTATGCAATGTAATATATATATACAACTATATACTTTTGCAAAGTGTCGACATGTTGCAAGCTCGCTCTTTCGGGACGCTGCCTCGATTTGCAAGCATCTCTTAACAACTGAACCGGGTATTAAAAAATTTAAAAGGTTTTTGATGAAGTGATCAAATTCATAATTTATTGTCTGATAATGCCGTTAATTGAAGCTAATCAGTTCCATTCTTATCAAAATAGTGCAATTTTGATCGTAATTTAAGTCGAGCGTTATTCTTTACACTGTGCCAAAATGTACTTTTGCTTACTGCTTTGTTGCGATTGATGCCTAGATCGTATTTTCTTTAGAATAGTAATAGTTCACACTGATAACTTATATTGGCGTTCTCAACCGGGGGTAAATTTACGTCAGTGGTTCTCGAACTGTGTGCCTAGAGAGATTCTCTGGAGCACCACGGAGCTTTTCGGCGCAACAAAACATGAAAGCATGTTTTGTAATATGATAAATCATACTATCTGTCCATTAATCAGACTACGGATGTGGATTTTCTGGTATGACAAACGAAAAACGAGGAAGACGTTTTGAAATTAAGGGCGAGCGGAACTTTGTTTCAATATCATTCGCTCTTAATTAAAATCGGAAACGACAATAGCACTGGAGTTTACAGAATAAATAACTTTTCAAAGTGCGACTTGGGCTGGAATAGTTTGAGAACCGCTATTTACCTATCAAATAAAGTCGTTAGGCCTGCAAAACGGTGCAAATGGCCAGTTTTGTTTACAGAGCATCATTATCTCTCATTATATTCATTGCGCAACCACGATTATATGAATCAAAACAGGAAATTATGTGGCTGGACCATTGATCGTATGTTTTTAGCAACTTAAAGTTGTTTTTGCAAGTGCTCATCTGTGAGCCGATTCCCATATTTTATGTTTGCTTTGTAATATTGATCTAACTCGGCAATTTTCGAAAGGTCGTCAGCTAGGCGAGCCATTGTTAATCAAGAAAAACCAATCTACTAAATATATCTTCTTTGGATATACTTTCAATGAATGTCTCCGTCGCACAATGCATGTATGTATGTTTATTAGTCTCGTAAAAGCAATATAAAAGAATTAGTAATTATAAATATTGAAGACTGGATGTACGCACACGACCATACTGACCTAAAACACGAATGTGTGGCATACACCCGTTTTGATACGTATAGTAAGGTCTTTTATACAGACAGTTGTGCAAGGTGGGTGGGTGTGGTAACGGAGGTAAGGGTGGGGTATACAAAACTGTATGTACAAAGGAGTTTGTAAGACGAAACAACAACTATAAATATAGACGCAACACAACATGAAACACACTGCATGTGAATATAGTAATTAAATTGAGAATTTGGTACAACAACATTGAGTGATGATACCACATATATACTATAAATCGGGGGAATGGTCAAGTTTAACCCTGCTAAAACGCTTAAAGGGTGTGTACATATATGGTATGCACCACCCAAGGGTGACAGTGTTATAAGTGGTCTATGGCTGTTCTGGCAAAAATGTGACCCTACAAGTTATAGTGAAATGTGATAATGTTATGTATCAAATTACTCTTTAAGTTTTTTTCTAATTCTGGATTCAGCCAAAAGCGATGAAGTTTCAAAAAAAAGTTAATAAAATGCATTTCCACAAAACTTATCATGATTGCTTTTGAGCCAGAAGATTAGACATGTGTAAAAGTACAGAGTGATAGGAAATAATAAGTTATAAGGAGAAGTCATTTTACCATGTCATGGATTTTCCAAAGTAAATTAAAGTAATAGAATAATATGGTATCCTGGAATGAACTGTAAGAAAAGTTTGATTCCCGGGGAAAGGAAAACCGATAAGACGGCTCAATCACATGGAGTACTATATGGTTGGTGATGCTATCGAAATGACAAAAGCGATTCCAACTAGTAAAACCTGTCTGCTAAACATTTCGTTCCGGATATATTTTTCGATGAATATGCCCAACCCACAATGCTTTCGTAACGAGTAGCGGACTTGCACAATTATCGCGTGATGACGTACTTTTACAAATAACACAAACCACGTCATGATTGTGTCACGTGATATAACATTTCAGACACAACACAATATTCCACATTGGCATTTCAAAATCAATACTTTTTAGTGCCAGAAATGTTAACTTTCATATTCACAATACGGCACCAGTAAGCTATACCGTCGCGTTACTGAATCCCTGTCAGGCGAACTTTCGTTTCAGTGTTACGTAACAACAAAAGTTCGGTTACAAACCATTCAGCCATGCTCAAAAATATGGACACGAAATTTAAAAGAAGTAGTACGGGTATATTATTTTTTACAGTAGACTAACAAGTAACAATACCTTGGCCTCCCAGATTCCGCGTGGCAAGCAGATAGCAACAAACGCGGAACCGCCGTCTTACTCTATTCAGAAGACATTTTTTAAAAAATTTGTGAACAATTTTACGAAAATAGGATTTCAAGTTATCCTTCACTCGACGTGTGTGTTAATGGTAGACTATTGGTATCACTAATCCAACCATAACCATTTATTACTCCATTAGTGTAGTGTCTGTTAATTTTGTGCACTGTAACACGTCACCTTGTATTATGTAATTCCGTGTTGATTGGTCGAGGGAATACAGTTTATCTTGTGTGCTGCGAGCGTGTGTATTTCGAGTATAGAGTGCTGGGTTAAACCCGTAAGGTAAATCTGTTTTAATCAATCTGTTTGGGGATCAAACAGTGCAATTGAACTTCAGTTACCGCGGAAATGTTTCACAGACTATGCTGCCCAAATGATAAAAGCGATATTTTTTCCATCAAAAAATACAAAAATAACCTAACGATCAATAGGTCCATTTCGTGTTCAACTATAAAAACCTATCTGCTAAATATTTTTTATGGATATATTTTTCGCCCAGCCCACAATGCAATCGTAACAAGTATAGGGTTCGCACAATTATCGCGTGATAAAGTACTTTGACAAATAACGCAAACCACATCATGCTTGTGTCACGTGATATAACATTTCAGACACAACACAATAGTGCATATCGGCATTACAAAATCAACACGTTTAATTGACAGATCTTTATATTTTTTATTCACAACACGACAAGAATATGGTATTATCGCGATACTGAATCCCTGTCAAGCGAATTTTCATCTCAGTGTGACGACACAACAACAGTTCTGTTACAAACCATTTAGCAATGCTTAAATATATATATAGATACGAAAGCCAAATGAAAAACTGCAGGTATCTATTTTTTTTTAATAGTAGATTACCAGTACCTTAGTCTTCACCTTGCAACATAGCACTCAAAAAAAAATCCAACCAAAATTATTGAATTTGCATCGCGGGCCGTATGTTTCACGCCTCTACCGTAGAATATTGCATTGTTCCAAAATCTGGAATAGACTCTTGCCACCAATCGGGGTTGGTATTTTAACTTAAGCTTCAAACTTCACCACCACATGCGTCCTTAGAGAGTTATTTGTGCATAATATGTGTCAGACTGGTATACGGAGCACTTATTTAACTGCGATGGTTGTGAATATACAACAACCCAGTCCAGAGTTCATTTTAGGTAGAAATACGACTATTTGAACTTGACGTCGTTATGTATATATCTGTTGATACAACTGGATTTATGAAAAATTGGCAGATTGTATTGATTCGGATAAAGGCGCAACGACAGCTTTAGTACCTTCACAAACTTTATATTCTTTCGACTTATTTGACAACTTTGCCTCGAATAACAATCTGGAAGAACAGCTACTGTAATACTAACCCACTGACATATAGGACTACTACAAAATATATTTCGATATATCCCAATCTTTCTAAATATGTGACGAGAATATATAGATGATATTCTGTACTTGCCAGCGCTATGGATTCGTTGTAGCTAAGGCACCCAATTGAATTTTAATGGAAATCGCATCAAAATTTTTTTGTGTTTGCACAATTCATGGCGATAACGTCGTTACTTGCAGATGTCGTGCCACACATGAACTTACGGTAAGAATTAAATAATTATCAAAATTTCATAAACGATATAAACCGTCTGCATATATATAACTATTAAAAAAACAAAGTCTATGCGATTTCAATTGCTTCAGAACAATTCCGTTTGCTATTAGAAAGTAGTCCATCATGTTCAATTTCGTTCTTATTTTCTTCAACATTTTGGTCATTGTCGTCGATTTTGACTATTATCAGCCCATGTTTTTTGCGATGTCGAATTTCTGCTAGAGCTGTGAAAACATAATACTACAAATTGGAAATAAGTGTTCATTGCCAGGACAACGTAGGGCCGAAAGGAAACATGTTTCCGTAACAATACCATGACATTCACCAAATAGATGATTTAATGGAGGACTAGTCTCACAACGACGAAGAAGTTAATTTGATCGTCCGAAATTTCAGAAGTAGTTTGTATAATATCTTTTATATCGTTTAATACTTTTGATACACGCAGACTATTCAAATTATAGATTGTAACCCTGACATGGGTAAACACGGCCCGCTGGCCAAATCCGGATCGATCTGGCCCACCTGATGTTGGCACAACCAAACTAAAACCGAATTTTGATGTTTTAGCTAAAAAATAGCTCAAAGAATTTGTTGATACTGCGATTAAATTCAGTTTTGACACGAGGCTTGTTGTTTTCCACTTTTACTTTTTGTAACACCCTTAATATTATACATAAAATGTAACTTTTTACATCACACTTACATGGCCCGTCAGTCTAGGTTGGCAAAATCTTTTGCTCCTAGTCCGAAAACCTTGCCCACCCCTATTAATAAATGTAACCCATTTAACAGTGTAATGGGTGTTGTTATAAGACAATTTGTAACTTCGCCACGTACAATCATATAAAGAAGGATTCACACACACGTTCGAGTCAAATAACTTCAGAAAAGAAGTAATCATCCCATTTTCTTATAGCTTGTGTACCATTGAATAGGTGGTAGGACTTTCGTGTCCCTGAATCAAAGGCCCAGCCAATGATTCCAAAAATATCGGATCAACTTTTGTGTTGGACAAATGGAACAAGAGATACAAATGCGAGGCAGTCGTGTTGTGCACGACATTGAAAGGCCCCAAGCGATTTATCTGTGGACTCCAACATAGATAGACTAGATCACTATGTATACTTACCATATGTTAACATACTTAGAGCAAGCACTCCTAAATGAACGAAAATTTTTTCTGCAACGCATAGGCTAGTTGACCAACCAAATTGTACAGCAATTCCACAAATAAATAGAACGCTCCACATTGGTCCTGCTATATCCAAACGATCAGGGAAGTAAACCATATAAAGAACTGATAATAAAAGAATGTATTAGTTAGTCAAATATCTGTTTATGTTCGAAGGAGCCACGAAACAGTCCACGAGCAGGAAATTGATAATTTGCTGAATGAGCAGAGTGACACAGAAATAAAATAAAAGAGCCAGAATGATACTGGATTGTCAGAGTTAACAATATTTATGAGCTTTAAAGTTAACAAAGTCAATAAATTTTGTCGTTTTGCATGTGTTTTTCTACATGTAGTCCTATTTAGTAGGAACTTGAACAAAAATTTTATAAATATGATCATTTTTATTGGATTGCATTTCAACTGGGAAGCCCATGAGATGAGATGGGACAGGCATAAATTTCTAGGGTATGGGGTGGTACATACAAGCCTGGAGGTAGGTCTTACCGTTCGTCATGACAATCCATATTCCTTGTACCCCACCCATGGTAAAAAATACGACAAACAGCATCCAAGAGCTTATAGAATCTGCCTCGACAAACAGACAATACGCATATCCAGCAATATCCATGATTGCAGCGAAAGCAAATAGGCAGTTGCGTCCGGCAGATTTGATAAATTTTCCAATAACATATGCTACCACGCACGCGGATAAACCGTAAGCTGACATGTGGATGGGTACCTGAATTTGTGAAAGATTTACAAACGTTAGTAGCATAATATGCAATTTATAAAAAGTTTTGTCGAATACTTCCCACACAGCCGTCAGACATGGGATGGAACAGGATTTGGGTGAGAGGCTCCAGTCCAGTGGTCGGCAAAGTTTTTAAGAGAGGCCCAAATAGTAAAATGAAGAAGGTTTTGAGGGCCAACAATTTCGTTAGAAATTTTAAATTTAACCACGTAAATAAACTCGTTAAGGGACGTTTAATTTGTTGAGTTGAAAAATGTGCGTACTGTATAATCGTTTGATACATGATAAAAAAAAACCTTTGGTCAAAAAAGTATATGTAATGTAGGATGTATGGAACTTTCTCGTGTAACACTGCCATAATTGAAATGTATTGGACGCCCACTAGAAAATGCTCGGCGGCCTACAGTTTGCCGACCACTGCCCTAGGCCTATAGGCTATGTCATTTGTAAGGACCCACTTCAATGATGACATCACAAGGTCGCGGACTTCATTATGGCGTCATAAAACGTCATGTCACCAGAATACCCAACGTCATAATACCCGATTCTAATCGCGAGTTGGGGGGTGCATCGTCCCATCAATGTTGAATTAAAATTCACGGATTATTAAAACCATTCCGTTTTTAGAAATAAATGGGTGTACGATAAAAAGATTAGAAATTATTAAAAAAATATATAATAACTTCTAGATTCGTTGTTGCTTAGTATAGCTATTTCTCAACACTCTCGTTTTTTTTTTATATAAAGGCATTATTACATTAAAAAACTGCTCAATTAATTTGAATTAGAATTAGTTAAAATAGGGGTAAAGTTTTTAAAATTTAGACAAATTCTGATTATTCATTAGATCGTATTTGATTCGTCAACCTTTGAAATGGAAAATATTCAGGACAAGTATTATTGCCCTGATTGAAAATGAAACAAGAATATTAGTTCAAAATACAATTTCGCGGCACTACCTTGCCTATTAGTAAATCCGGTCGGGTTGAAACGATGGACTTTAAGTAATGTATCAATCTGATTGTGTTTTCAGCACTTGTGCCTTCTATTATTTGTGTAATTATCATATGTTCGAGTCGCACCCAATGCCTTTAGAACGAAGGCATTTCAATAAGAACAAAATTACCCATAGTTCGAGTCGAACTGCTTACGCTAATATTTCATTTTTAATTTTGAATTTTTCTTTACGACAGTATTTGATCGAGAAACATACCAGAACAAGTTTGCATGCATGCAGTCGCATCCGTCATCCCTAATCCATTTATCGCACATTAGACGCAATCATCATCGCTCTATTTGTTTATAAATAAACTAGAAACAGAAACCTCCTGGGGAAACCGGGAAAATAGCAAACATTAAGTTCAAATACATTCCCAGCTCAATGCACACCACACAATTCTTTCGAAAACAATAAGTGCGTTATTGCAAGATGTTTGAAATTAATTTTTCAAATGGAGGTGGCCAACCCGTCGATCACAAAGTCTCAGGCAATTCTGTCATGCACCTATAGTAGCCCTTTTGTATTTTCAATCCCGCGGGATATTTAAGTTAGTGGTGATTCTGGATTTGAAGCGGAGTCAACCTTATTCAAAATTTAGTAACCATACATTTTTGTGTATGACTTTTATGGATCAGTCGATCGCAAAAATTCAGGAATATTTGTACATCTCACTCGAAGACTTGTTGGCAACCTTTGATAAAAAACAAGACCGCAATACTAGAAGAAGTCAATTAAAACCCCTGACGCTATGACTAAGATTCACACTTCTAAAATAACCAAATATACGAACCATTGACAATCCGAAAATGCAAGAAGAAAATGCTCGTGTCAGCTCACATATTATGAAAGCATATTGCAGTCCTGCATAAAATGTTATTGTCATCACCAACAATTGTTGAACGTTTAATAAATGTTTGAAACTGTCTTTTATTCCAATCCATACGAAATTGTTGCACTTTGAATCCTAAAAATGTAATAAATAAATGCATATGCCAATAGTAATGTCAAAATTTCATGTTCCAATATGTTTTATGTCAGAGGATCTGAAAGATCACGCTCACTAGCTTAGAGGTAAGCAATCTAATCTCCGACAAAAGCTACAGACGTGGCGGTGTGGCTCATCGTGATAAGCGTTAGGACTACGCTCGCCACCGCACGCACCACTGATTACTCTGCGTGGGTTCGCAGGTTCGAATTCCATGCGGGGATAGTCATGTGCGAGAGGATTACTGGATTCCTCCCCGCCGTATGGCGGTTCACGTAACCGCTGGTCGGTTACGGCTTCCTCCACCATCAAGTCCATGCTTCCGAAAACAAATAACCAACTAATCTCATACCCGACATGGAATGGTAACCGGACGAGAGGCCGTGGTTCGCCATATAGTTGAGCCGTCTTATCGTCTGTCCGTTCGTCCGGGAAATACGTAAATCCTATCCTATCCCACTGAAATCATCTATATCCATCTTTCATTAGCGCAATTCTAGCCGCAGACGTTGTATAGGGTGAGTAAAATAATCTCCCACTTCGCATTTTAATTTGAAACATGAATGTTTTTTTGCCTCACCCTGTACAGGTACATTCATTCCAATTCGAATCATTAGAGCAACGAAAGACGAAAATTAGACGGCCCGCCCAAGATTTTGACATTGAAATAAGATATGTATCGGGGTTGATATAGTGATTGATCGACTTTCCTTAATTTAGCAAGCTTCAAACGGAGATTGACGATTATTTGACTTAATATCAAGACCAGAATAATGAGTTGCACCGTCAGCATAAGTGAGTGAATTACAGGTCATTTATAAATACCGGGAAAAATATCGGCCCAAGGATTGCACCCTGAGGAAACTCCGAAAAAAAACGGAATATATCTGAGATTGGTGAAAACTAACAAGACGTTAAACGTTGCTATTGAAGAGGAATGATGGTGGCAGAACTGGGCTCATATACACCACAGGAATGGATATTACAGTATATAAGAATAGAGTGTACTAAACTACGGTATATCAAAAGCTTTTGAAATACACACAGCAATTAACTTAGGTACCCCACATCGATCCAAAACTCTGCATGTCATTTAAGTTATAACAGATGTCATCTCGCGTTAAAACGTTTTAGACGAAAACCATATACATCAACATTACTTATCAGTTCATGACCATTTGAATCCGAGATATCCAGTAATGCTAGTAATTCGGAAATAGTCATGTCCAGAGTCGCAGCCAGGGGGGGTTTCGGGGTCGAAAATTTCTAGAATTGTCCCGTAGAGTCACTTGGAATAGCCCACATACCGTATTTGAGTCTGGCCAAGCCTGATAAAGCATATTATCACGTAACAAATTCATTTTTTTCCGCTGCCAAGGTTTAAAAATGAAATGCCGATATCGTGTGTCTAGAGTCTAGACTAGACTGACAAACGATCCTACAATAACTTACACAGTATGTTTGCAAGCCGTGAAACTACGCGAAAACGTTGCGTTCTGGCAGCTGCCAGAATAATAATTTCAAAATTGTAAGTAAAAATTCTTGCTTTGACTTTCACTTTCATCGGGTACATATTTATCGCGAAGCTCACGAGCCTAATACAATCCAAAAGCATTTGGATCAAGGGCAGCCTTCGGCAAAACAAGTGCGTTACGATAATGATAATAATCCTACGGATTTAAACGATGAGACACCCTAACCTAGGCTATCTAATTGTAAGACCCATCTGATACAATGACGTAACAACTAATCTGTTGTGACGTCATATTAGGGATTTCGAGTTTATGTAATGACATTTTTTTCATGAAATAAAGGCATTATTACGTTTAAAATTGTTGGGTTAATTTAAATTAGCATACTTTGTTTTTGAGGTTAAAGGAATAAAGTATTTAAAGGGATGCAAACTCATTTATTCGGCCGTATTTCAATTTTCGCAAGGTGGTTTCGTCGCATAGTGGTTCACGTAATTCGTCGTAATGGCTTATCGGTTGCGTCTTTCTGCGCTAACCACGTTTGCAGGCGCATTGAACTACAGCTTGAGAAGGAGTGTATGGGCAAGTCATATTTATTTGTGGCGTTTCGAAGCGTTTATCGAGAATAATAAGCGTTTGGCATGTTTTTACATCCATTTTTCTTCAACCTATTCAATACAAAAAAATCAATTAATACAGCCATTTTAAACAAAACAGACAGAAAAAACTTGATTTAAAACAATTATTTTAGATCAAATTCCTACAATGGTAGCAGTGGCATCAAAATGCCCAATATGTTCTAATTCTAAGCAAGCGAAGAATCGCGTTTGGAGGAAATTGTAAATTAGATACTGAAGTTTGAGCAGTAATGTGACGTTCCTGGTTCGAGAATATTTATTTTTCGCTGTTTGGATAATTCTTGGCATGGTTTCTTGGAAAATTTCCAATACTTACGACTGAAAATTAGGCACGTCCTTTATCTGAATTGTATGATTTAAATAAATCTCAAATAAATAATGAAACATTTACTCCAGGTACAATTAAATAATTAAATCAACAACCTAAATGGAGCATGAAAAATGCAAATTTTGTGTCGATTTCAATAAAGATATGCCCACAAAGTCTCCTTATTGGAAGCGGTGGATCGTTTTGTATGCGTGAGAGCAGTTATTTGCACATTCAGTGCCCATTCGTTTTTGTGTATGACCATATTACCGATCAGTCGATCGCGATCTATTTTGAAGATTTTAGTCGATCGTGGTGGAAAGCAGGTTGGCCACCCCTGATATATAAGATAATTAATTAACGTATATTCAATCAATTTTTATTGTACTAAAATAAAGTTAACTCCGTGAGACTTTATAGCAGACTTAGAGATTTTTTCTAACGGTTTTATCTTAAAAATAATGTGAGTGGCAGCATTGCGATAGAGCGGTGTCAGCGTTCCAAGTACAGCTCAGATTTGTCGAATTCGCAAATTGGCAAAAATACTTATCAAAACAAGATGTAATCGGGCAGTTTACCACACATTTTTATGCTTGCGGATTGCAGTGTATTGTAGAATAATGGAGCTTTTATTTTGTTGACGCAACCGCACGTTGAATTGAAGACAAGTAAATTAATAAATAAAGCAAGACATTTTAAATATGCCCGTACCGGTCATAGATTGATTATTTGCACGACAGAAAAATCATTATTATCCGACCAAAAAGTCGTTTCGCAGGTATTTTGAAGCGATGAATATGTATTTTTGATTTACTGATATACTTTATATATTCACTATGTATATAATTGCACTCTGTGGGATTTTATTAAAGATCTTGAGAATTCTCTAACGGCCATAACGAATTCGCAAGATCGCAAAAAAAAGTATCAAAACTAAATACAATTAGGCATGTTTATCTCATATTTTTATGCCAATCGATTGACGTGGTATTTTAGATTAGTAATGTTTTTATTTTAACGCAAGAAGACGCGACCGCTAGTTACGTTGGACACAATTATGTTAATATCGAAGGAAATTCTAGATTCTCGTAATTGTTGTGGATTGAATATAAAAAGCCGGCTCTTTTAACGAGTGCGTAATCGCGGCTCAGAAGAGAATGGGAATTTCCGATACAAAGGACTAAAGCCATCAACTACATTCCTTTTAAAAAGTCAAACGCAATCAATTTTGAGGACACGCGTATTAACATTTCTATTTTCCATACCATAGTTGCGTGGTACGTTATATACTGGTATTCGTGTGGTTTATATACAATTACTGAACTGCGCATAACCGCACAATACAGCTTTAATTTGCATCACACCTGCATCGAATAGTAATTTCAAAATGCTCATAAGCAATAGCAAAACTAGATCTTCTGCAAGCACGTGGTTGATATCATGCCAACTTACATATTTGGGTATTTTCCAGGGAAACTCTTCAAATAAACCAACCGCTTTTTAATAAATAAGCCAATTAAAAAACCTTCTACATAGATTAGATAACAATACATGTACTAAATCAATGCTTACATTTGCTTCCGTGTTGTCTGCAAACTCCTCTCCTTGTGTATTTGGCAGAAACACAAGATGTACTCCAAAAGCACATATGCATAGTAATAACATGAGACTTAATAATGAATAACGTGCAATTTCAGCACTTGGAATATATTGAGTTATTGTGTCATCAACAACTGATGGATCTTGACAATCCCTGGCTCCACAATATTCTCTCACGAAATTTGAAGTTTCATTCGTGTGTGATGCTACATTTTCGCTTGGAGTAACGTGATTCAATAACGTCGTATTACTCTTAAATGATGATGCTGAAGCAGAAATATTTTCCACGGATGTAGCTTCCGAAAATGCATAAAGTACTACAAAGGAGACAAGATTTCCAAATATCTTAAAAAGTTGGAAATATGTTATTAGAGACTTGATTAACAGTAACGCAAAAGAAACAATTTAACTGCAATTCCATCGCAGTGTACGCACACAGAGCTGTGAAGAAGGATCTACTATCGAACACAACAGATCGAACCAAAATCGTAATAACTCATCGCGAAAAATAATATACAAATATCCTAGCTTGAAACTTGTCTATTTTGAAACGCGATCTGTGAAAAAATTTTCGTATAAAATCGTCGCTCCCGAAGTATGTGCATCAAGATGACGCACAACCTGATAACCCCAACCGGGTAAACATACTATGTTCAGGTTGTGCGCCATCTTGATGCACATACTTCGGGAGTACCATAAAATCCTAGAAAAAATCGAAGGAGGCTCACCTTTGCACATTGGAATATAGCATAGAAATATCCCGAAAACTTAGAAGAGTTACAAGGTGTTCCCTTCAGGACCGAATACTTATTTGCAAAATAAGAATTGAAAATTGCAAAAACACTCCATACGATACAATCGCCTATTCCAAGTATAAAGGACGTCGGAGCCATGGTCCAGAACACTGAAAACAAATAAAAACTATTTCGAATGAGTCATCAAAAAATGTATCCCAAAAAATTTATCTGTTGAAATATCGTTTTGCGTTTACAATGGTAATCATTCTCTTCTTCATTCATGCAGGGCACTTAATGCTTGGAAGTTTGGTGCTAATGCCTACTGTAAACAGTGCCTGCAGTGCCCGGCGGGCAGTATTTACGACAAAGTAATCTGTGTATACGTCAAAAATCATAATATGTATCAATATATGGTACTGAATTCTACGAATTGCTTATTTTTGGACACGAATTATAAATCTTATATAAATCTTATCTTTCTTATGTTGGTAGTATTTTTTAGTCTTCTTGTCGTGTGAAAATCGCTTTTCTCATTAACTGCTGGGTCAATTTAATATCAATTCACATACATGATTTGATAGTTTACGGTGAATAGTAGATTGAAATATTATATGTTGGCTGTTTATTAACTTTAGGCAAGTGTACATAACCTCACAAATGATATTTCATGCACCAAAATTAAAAATTTCACTTTTGCAAATTGAATTGTCATGGCGGATTCCATTGAACCACTCCGAAAAAGGTGGTTCTAAATGTGCTCTCCATGACTAAATAACAATTGTTGGTCTAATAGATTTGTCATTACCGGTAATCTGCATCGCGTCGCTTCAAATATCGCAATACGCAATGATTCGCTAATTGACTTCACTACTTGGTTCGCCACGTTCTTTTACATATATATATATTCGTTTTCAGTTAAAGTATCGGAAAATTAGCAATATCATAACAACATAAATAAGCAAAAAATGCACGTATAATGCAATTCAATATACATATAAGACATCAGAAAAGTTGTGGCAATAATTTTTCTTACCAGGATAGAAATTCGCTAGCATGTACGCAACGTATGTCAGTTCGCTTGCGCAAACACATTTTTTTGCTCCAAACTTACGCAGCAATATCGGTGCACAAAGCAAGGAAACTAAAGCTGATGTAGCATACGTAATGGTGACCGAAAATGTTCCTGTATAAAGCAAATGTACACAAATGTTTATCGAGATTTCAAGTTGTCGCAAATAATTATCAAGTTCAATTGCTCACACACTACGACAATGATGTCACCAACATGCAGTATTTCGCAGGCCAGACCCAAAATATGCCCAAACAGACCTTTTTACAATATAAAGCATTCAAATACAAGGAGAACTAAAACATATCCCATAAATGTCTTAATTATCCTACTTCTACGAAAATGAAGAAACTTTTATTTAACACTTGAACTTAACCAAATTCAATTAAATCATCCGTTAGCACCAATATTGAAATGGGCAACAGCTGCATATTCCCACGTCTTTCGTTTTGCGAATTATGGGTAGTTTACTTGGCGAAAGTTTAGTCTCAAGCTGATGGACTTGACTTTACAATATTCAGAGTTACCATATCGTGCTTATTTCTAAGATTTGTGCTTATTTTCTAGCCCGCGTCTTATAAAGTATAACAATGTGCTTATTTCTAAGAAAAGCGCTTATTTTTGAGTTGGGTGCTTATTTTGTCTCAGAAACATGGATGACTCGTTCATGTTTTGGGTACAAATCTTCCGTGGAAACGAGGGATGTTGCCTATTATTATAGGAAACGCGTATTCACGGCACGCTTCGCCGTGTTATTATTGTGAAGTATCAAGTATCCATCACCAATGACTGCTGAAGCAAATTGTTGGTAGCGATAAATATAAATGATTTGACTCAGTGAAGTTAATATTTAAAATTATTTGTTTATGTTATTTACTAATTAATATGTTCGCAAATTTTGGGGTAGATGGGATGTATGATTTCTTTATCATTTTTATTCTGCGTTTCTGCCGTTTCTTCTGTTAAGTAGCCTCCCAAAATAACCTTTTGACACCCGTTCTTATTTTTGGCTCTAGGTAGGTAGATGGTAACCCTTACTATTTTCGATTTATTAACATACTAATGGAAAATTCTATAATAGTATAAACATCAAAAAACTTGCTTAATCAAATACGTCATTCCCTCAAGTTCAAGTCGCGATGATAATTTAAATATTATAATTCTACCAGGGTTATCAAGCCAATATTAATATTATAAGTGCAACGCTGTGAATTTATAGTATCATCAACACAAACACAACGATGAAAATTGAACGGATTCTACAATTTACAATATCTCAAAAATGCAGATTACAACTGTCCTTTTGTAAAGGCCTACCTAATCCATCCACGACGTTTATGCTGGATTGCATATTAAGCAATGTCCCATACGCGGAGTAAAGAAGAAAACATCCGAAGGACCACAAAAGAAACTCGCGCCAAAATAACTGCAGTTTTCTATCCTGATTCTGTACCTTCACCATCGTAAAATTGCCAATACTGTACTGCCGAACGTATGTCTTCTCAGTTTACGCTACGTAATTGATCAGTTCATGCTATTGAGAGGAAATGCTCTGGACGAGTCTGTTTGTGACATAAAGTATGAACAGCAATGAAGCGGAACAACAGCTGATTATTCAATTTACATTTCCCGGTCATCCATTTCTTTGTGTATTTCTGCAACGTCAACCATTTAGCAATAAGTCAGAGATTACGTAACAATTGCAAGCTATGCAGTCGCTCAGACACTTCTCTTGCTCAGGCAGATATAGTTGTGAAAATTGGCCCGCTTTTGCGGTTTTTCGTATTATGTTTGTTTTCAAAAATTGGTCTCTGAGAAGCTTCAGTTTGGTTGTAATATTCAAACATCAAAAATCATGGTTGTGAACATACGAACCAGTTTGTAAGCGTCAATTCCTCAAAAAACTATCAAAATGAGTATCAAAAGTTTTACCACGGTAAAGTATAGGAAGAATTTTGGTGGGGTCAAGGGTCGGGGAAACGGCCACATGATAAGATTTACATATTTATGGACCTTTCCCCGAGCATCGACTTCCTTGTTACTTCGTGACATTGGCTAATCAGCAAGATGCAAAAAGTGACGTAACAATGTTCCCTTTTCGCATCCGCTCGGACACTTTTCTCACTCGAACATATTTTCAAGCGTGGTCGTAAACATTACCTCGTTTTTGTACTCTATTCGTTAGTTTTCAGTCGTGTTTTGGAAACTTAAATATAAATCAGATAATTCAATGATCCCTCTGCCTTTCTAGGGGTTTTAATTTAATTGCAGTAATAAAAAAAATTAGTGTAGAAATAGCTGTGATAGACTAGGCTAAAATTCTTTACCGGTTATTTAAAAAAAAACAGATTGTTGTATGTGATGAATCATAATGATGATTTGAAACACATACCCCATTTTACAGGCGCCAACTCGCAAAAGCACTCTTAAAATAGCCCCGAAAATTTTGCAATGGTAAAGTATAGAAAGAACTTTTGGAGGGTCAAAGGTCCATTGCATGGGAGAGTCAAATTATATTCTGGAGAAATCAAGTAAAGATACCAGGCATCAAGGGCTCTGCAAAAGTGTCAGGGTGACATATGGTGTTTATGAATTCAAAATATAATTGCGAGAAAATATGCTTTTGCCAAAATTAGAGGGTCATACGGCGGAGTTCTCCCAAATTTCAAGCAGCGACCGTGTGAAAATTAAAGACATGGCATTAAAATATGGGTGCTGCATTCACAGGCCAAACATCGAAATTAGGCATGTAGCCAATTAGTTGCTAGGTAACTACAAAACTACACCAAATTGGCCCAATTCGTGAGAAACTTTAAAAACTGAATTAATTGTTCCCGCAATAGCAATTTCTCGAAATCCAATTTCAAATTTTAATAGCCTTTAGGTGCCATCCCAGGTAAAAAAAATAACATAAATTCGAAACATCCTGGTAAATACTAGTTATCCACTTGAAAACAACTTCTTAAATCTCATAATTAAAGTCAGTACATGAACAGGAACACGATGCCTTGACAATAACAAGTTAATTGCTAGTAATAAGACAACACTTCTAACAATGTTTGATTATAGAAAACCGAAAGTTACCCAGAAATCGGAATGCGTTATTATTTCATTGTTAATGTAAAAATCTGTTTCTCGATTATATTTTAATTGCACTGTAGAAAACCTATATATTCTGCTATATTTTTAATGTTAGTAAGATAAGATTTGTTCCAATTGTGTGTGCATTGTATTCTGTGTATATTGTCGGAATTAGGCAATAAAACCCATATGGTGTTTCAAACGTCTATTCTCTTCGGCCAGAGGCTATCGACAGATAGACAGTTTGGGTTAACGAACGTAGGGCAAAACTCTAGTCAGTCAATGCTGGGGTCATAATCCGCAAACCAGACCAGTCAACAAACAATATATGTGTAGTGATAACTAATCCCTATAGGCCAAGCGATGGCAATCTACTAAGAGACACTTTGACCGTCTTGCAGGAAAATATCCTGAATTCAATCACAACGAAAACACAAAGGCTACGTTTATTTTCTAAATTGAATTCATTTTTCCTTCAGTCTCAACTGCTAGTTAATTTACTGAAAACGAGAGTTAGAGAATAATTAAATAAAATTATTAAAGCTTCACCTGCTCAAATTCCGAAAACTCAAAATGCATGATTAATGTCATCGTTATTCTATTTTAAATATGTTTGGTGGTTGTACGATGAATGAAATATGGACTTTCAACTATAATATTGTAGTATGGTCCAGGGATGGCGGATCTCTTTTAAAAGATGGGTCGAAAAACATTTTTAATTATTGAAAAGAAGACAGTACCATAAATACGTGATCAAGGAGGAACTTTGTTGCATTCTTTCTTAGTCTTATAATTCTCTATCAGTATCGTGTAGTTTTGGGCTCCACGCACGCAGCACTTATATCACGATCGAGGTGTTTACTGATACTCGATATTTACTAACTTGTGCGAAAAGGGTGTTTAAAAACATGCAGTGTCCCAGTTTTCGTATCTACGCGACTTTCAGCCGCTGGCGAGACAAATGAGCAGATCATTTGCTGCCTCTTATTCGGTACTGTCGTAATTCATTTATTGTTAGAATAAACAGCGACAAATTTTAGTTTTATTGTTCTACCACTCAAATGTTGGTAAGTTTTGCGTTAATCTAAGACCTAAAGGGCCTGTGGTTCAGCCACATTTCCACTGCTCATCGTTACGAGAATACGAGTAAAGTACTTTTTCACCATTACATGCAGGAACAGCTTAGCCCAGTAAAGAATACCGGTATTGCCTTCAGTTCAACGAAGGTCAATTTTTCACTTATGTCGTTGGTGAGGTGCTAACAAAAACCAATGCATACTGAACACAATTACCTTTTGCAAGCCTAATCCAGCAAGCCGATTCGCACTTATCCCCATCTTAATTTGAGCCCAAGAAATACACGTAAACCATTCTAATAATTACAACTGTCATGCTTGATGATATACACTTGGAGGTCCTAATACATCAGGGAATTAGAACTAAAAAAAGATGACACATGTCCTAAAATGGCGTTTTCATATTAAGGTCAGAGTTAAACACATTGCAATGTCTACTGCTTAACAGGAAGAGACAATCATCGCACCATTATGAAACCTTGTTCAAGCACACTACATGCTTAAATTCAGCTAAGGATTCCAATATAAATTGAAAACTAAGCATTGAAAAAAAAAATTTTGATGTGACATTCCCAATAAATGAATAAACATTCAAAAGTCCTCAATTATTGGCACCTCATTGTACAAAATTTTAAGAAGGTGTAAATGTGTAAGTAAAAACGGATCTTAATCCTAACTTGCACTATTCAACATCCAAATGGATCAGTCGAGCAATGTTTTCACTTTTAGACAAGATGGCAAATCTCCATTATAAAAGTTCACGTTCTGTTTTTTTCTTCAGCGAATCAAGCTTGCGAATTGTTGGAATACATCCAGAATATTCTGGTCTAAGTCGGCAGTGAAAAGAAGGTTTTCCAACGTTGACATGTAGATCTGTACAGTCTCTTTGTGCTGAAAATCAACAGAATGGTTTAAAAGTCACATAAGGTGATGTGGTGCACAGCCTCTATCACAGCCCATCATTTTGCATCAAAAGCACAGGATAAGAGTACCATTTTTATCCTGGGTTGGGGGGGGGGGGGGGGGGGGAAGTCGATAAAGATTGCTTAATCAGATGGCAAACCATGGCCTCTCGTCTTGTTACCAGTCCATGCCAGGTGTGGGATTAGTTAGCCAGTTATTTGTTCCAGTCTGATGCGTAGACTTGATCGTGGAGGTTGTATACGGCGAGTCTAGCAGTTCTCTCGCACATAATTACCCCCTCAGGATTCGAACCCAGAGTAATCAGAGGTGCGATGACGAGGGTATCCCAAATGCTCAGCATGATGTGCCACACCGTGCCAAACATCGAAGAGGTTTGCTACCTCAATATCTGATTGGGACTGGAAACATATATTACTAGGTATGACAAGGACGTTTATTATTTATAGTTGGCAATGTGATATAGGTCGGATAAAGTTTTAGATAATGCAATTTAAACATTTTCACAACTATGGCTCATAACTAGCCGCAGTAGATCGCTTGAAGCAAGATTAATGAATCTTATCATCATTTTTATTGATGGTTAGGAACTGCACGTTTCAAACCTTAAGATTTTGTTTGCTTTCCTAATTCTGTGATATATTTTGTTGTTTTTACCAATTATTTTATCGTTTGTTAGGGTGATTATAGAATCGAAATATACTTATATAACTGTACTTACCATCAAAAACATTTGTTGTAATCTGTCAATGGTATATTTATACCAAGGTGTATTGAATTCTTTGCCTGAACTTCTGCATCTGACCAGATGATCAGTCAATATCATAATGAATCTCTAAAGAATGAATTTTAAAAAATACCGTAAACCATGAAAAAAAAATATTATAATTTTATGTGTTTGTACAGAAATAGGGGCACTCCAGAAGTATGTGTACCAATATGGAGGTAACTAATTTTGTTAGCCTACTTTACATCAAGTTGTGTAAAGGAACTGAAACCTATATGCAGGGGTTATATTCACTTGGCCAACACAGACAGTCCCCGAACTCGTAATAGAACTAAAATTGTAAATAAAATTATGGCCTAACCCTAACCTGGTGCACATACTACAGGAGTACCGAAATAGGTATACAAGTAATTACAGTTAGACATACATGTAAAAATAATTTCAAGCATCTGTGGGTGTGAGCAGTTTTGCATAATTTTATTAATGACACTTTTTCGTGCCTCTCACTCTAATCAAAGGTATGTACAGAATACAGATAGTCACTGAAATAAAAGACTACTTTTGGTAAGAATGGAATCTCTCTAATTTGACTTTTCCTACCCTATTCATTACATTGTTGATCAAGTGTTGGAAACATGTTTTAATGAGAGATATTTAACCCTGTTTTGCCAGCATAGTAAGTCCAACGCCCACCAAGCCATCGTGCTCTATTGACAAAAATAAACCAATCAGACCGCAAAATATGATCTATTTCTCATGTAGTACCTGGAATATAATCAGGAACAAATTTTTTTGTTGTGCTTTTGCTGTATCAACTTTCTCTCTTATTTTTTCAATATCCTCATCACTTGGAGCAAACAATCCATATGATTTACTTATGTCATTTTCCTCATCTTCGTCATCATCCTGAGAAGGTAACAGGATTCATTTTAATCTGATTGTCTTTTGCACAGTTGTTGGGATAATGGTCTAGTGCAAGAGGCGGCCCGTGGGCCACACCCGGTCTGTTTATATGGCCCTTCAAAACTCTAATTTTTCTCCATTAAGTATAATATACTAATCCGAAAGTTCATGTTTAAAAAGTCTTATGTGACATGCGCAACGGCTCACGGACACTTTACACTGGTTATAGAATCCGGCATAAATTCATTATTACCGTCACCGGAGAAACATCAGATTCGATTTTATTTTTTTTAGATGGGTAAACATAAAAATACATATTTTTTCGCTGTGTTAAATTTTTCAGTTTCACCCAGTGCTTTCATTACTCTAAGGTTGAGCGATAGGCGATAGCCGCCGCATTCTCTTCTTTTTGTGTGGCCCAGCTAGATGTCTGAAGTTGGTTATATAGCCCACCGACAAAAAATGTTGCACACCCCTGACCTAGGGGGTAAACCGTTGTTTGTACATTACAAATTACCAATTAGTGAGCTAGCTTCGACAAAATTACCATCCAACTTACAGTTACTTTGGTAAATTTAGCCTTCTCGATCGTATCTTGGAGTTCGATGTTGACTTTCTTAACATGCATGTCCATTTTTCGGATCGCAGAATGCATTATTTCCCAGACATACATCCTGTAGGAACAAAATAACAACTTCCACACATCAGCAACATCAGAACTACCTTACATAATGATACTGAACCCAATATATTAAGATTCCATCACTCTCAAAGATATCTTGTCTTGTTTCCAACCATAGGGAATGAGCTACTTTACTTTTTGTTTTCTGACACAACAAACTTGCATAACAAACTGTGTAAAATATTAATACAAGCCATAAATCAGCAAATACCTTGTGAAATCTGATGCCATGTCTGGTGAGAAAAGCCATTTAGCTACAGCAGCACAATCAACGATTTGTGTTCTGACCATTTTATCAACAAGGACTATGATCATCTGTGGATGATTGTGCCAAACCACATGTAAGACTCTAAGAGCATCAATTTTTCCATTTTCTCCAGATGCAGCCCATTTTAGAAGCTGAAAAAACAAAAAGTCAAATAAACTCGCAGAAAACAATCTAACAGTTAAAATGAGACGACGATGAAATTATATTCAGTAATATTATATTTAGAATAGCCCCAGCATTGAGTGATCGTCTGTTTGAATCTTTGGCTGGAGCAAATATAAATAATTTCTAGTCCTATTAAGAAAATATACTTGCCTTGTGAAATTTTGCCAGTGCACTGCAGGAATGACTGAATGATTTCTGAGCAAGATGAAGGAGTGTTTGCAAGAGTGCGTCGAGTCTAATTGGATTATATTTCTCATCATCTGCAATTGAAATTAGATAATATGGTAAATCAATAAATGTATGACCTTGTAAGCATGGCATTTCAGCGCCCTAGTGCAGAATTTTTCTGTTGCCTAGTGATTGAAGTGTTTGACCATGCCCAACACCTCACCCAGGTTGTAATAAATAGGTTCCGAACCTGCCAAAGTAAAGCAGTGGCTGCATGTACAAATCCATGTTTGGAGAGTATGGCATACAAAATACGTTTTATACACAATATAGGTATATCTATGCTGTAGTATAAATTCGAACTTAATACAGTCAGTAATACCTCAGTAGTCCGTTTTGCTTTCAGGTCCATATATTTGAGTATCGCTCTCTTGTCCAATGATCAAGAGGCAGCCAGATGCGCGATTCATGTGGCGTCATCTCACTCTGTGGCACTAGCACTGAATTATCGTTCGAGTACCGCAGCATTTCAGACTAGAATTCCTTGGTCTACTACCAAATTGTTAGAGTATAGAGTCGTTAGACTACCGAGGTTTCAATGTTTATATTCCTACCTGACATATTCGGTGAATTTGGAATTTCTTCTAGTATAAGTTGGAGATCACTTTCCACGGTTTTTTGTTTTATGCAAGCAACTAATCTCTGTGATGCTGTCATTGCAGCTTCTTCCATCTCACTATAAAATCATATAAGTTTGCTAAGATGAATCGAAATGATATTTTTACCTCGATTATGATTAAAACTTACGTAGGATTTTCAATTCTTTCACCATATTTGAAAAAACTGATAGGTTCAGCAGGAAGTAGAGGTCCGAATGTTTCTGGAACATTTTCACATATACGTTGGTGATAAGACAGTCTGAAAGTATTTTAAAGTTTATAAAATTGGTGATAAATTGGAACATTTCACATCTTGGACAGAGAAATTGAATTTTTGCAATACTACGCAATGAAACAGGAGTGTACAACATTTTTTGTCGGTGGGCCAAAGACCAACTTCCGGCATCTAGCTGGGCCACACACAAAAAATTAAGTTTTTCCATGTACACAACGAATTACAATAAAAAAGGCAGCAGGCAAAACGGGGAAAGATTTAACGCAGCAACAAGAGCAAAAAATGTATGTATTTTTACCCAAGTGAGTGACTTTTTAAAAACAAATTGTTGGAATATGATTTTATGCTTGATGGGGAAAATTGAGAGTGTTCACAAGGGCCACACTGAATAGCTTGGCATGCCGGGTTGTTTCCTGCGGGCCGCCTGTTACACACCTGTAAAGTGCCCAAAATATAGGGTAAAATTGTAACTGGAAAATGTCTGCCCTTATGAACATTTCGGTATTGGAAATTACAGTTCACAAACAAATAAGTATAAATAAACTATAAAATGTTCAATTGTTTTACAAAGAAAAATTGCTGTGCTTATTGCTTTATTAACGTATTAATATTATTCTCAATGTTCAAAATGTTCATAACTTTTATTTCACAAGTTGAGGATCCTGTCCATACCTTAAGCATTTTTCAAGAACTTCTTTAATAAACTTAGGTTTCGGTTGTGCATGATCTTCTTGTAAGCATTCAGACCATTCGTCCCAACTCCAACGAAACTGAAAATTGCTTAGAAAAGAAAATACTTGTTGAATTACATTATACAAGCATCATTTATAGCAGGGAAAGATATACTACGACCCACCAAAGCATTCTGGGAGAAAGATGTGAGATTTTAAAATTATTTTAAATGAATTGTTAAAATAATATTGTTTTTATAATCTTCGGTTCAACAATATCAGTCACCATTAAATTTGATACTATAATAGCGAATGGGAATAGTAACAGTCAATTTCTCTACGTGTTCCTTTACAAAAAGAATTTCAGAATGAAGTCCCTACAAACAACTTCGCCCACCCTGATTTATTCCAATGCAACTGGTAGATTCCATAAATAGAGAAAAAAAGTAAGTCAGAGTACATGAATTTTGATTTGACACTAATTTGGAAGCTTTCGCTACAAACATTCCACTTTACAAGTAGCTACTGATATCTGACGATACGTACAAAGCTTTATTATTTGAAAGAATCTTTCTGGTTAAGATTGCCGGCCCAATTTGTTACACCTTGGATGAGGTGGGGGACATGGGATTTGAACCGGATTTGTGTAATCTCCGAAGCCAACACAATTAAGTCTGACGCTTGAACCACTAGGCCATCGCGCGCCCCCAAATTAAAAAAGATCGAATAACGCATACATACCACACCAGTATACCACACACTGCATCAAGCTTTTTAGAATACTACCGTACCGTACTTGAAAAACACACAACATACCTGAGATGATGTGAAAACCAATTGATAAATCTATCAATGCAGCTGTAATTCATTGTATCAAGTCTATCAAACAACATTTCAGAAGCAAGTGCAAGCTGTCAATGTCATGTGAGACTAATTAAGGAAATATATTGCATACAAAGTTGATCATATAATAATATCACACAAATGTATTGCCACCAATATAAACAATAAAACAAATACCGGTATATGTGCAGTTTAGCACTGCCTGGAAATCTACCCGAATACCTAAATTATTTTTCTGAAATTCAAATCGCTCTTGTATCTGTATATCTCAATTCTCAATACAAAAAAAATATTGAGGAGAATACATCACGATTTTTTTTACATTCCTATTTCATGTATCTGAAACAAATACCTTGTTAATTACCTGTTCCCATACCCAAATATGACAGTAAAGTAGAAAAGAGGCTGTGGTTCGCCATTACGATTGAGTCATGGTATCGGCTTCCCCGCCCTCCCGGGATAAACATAAAAAGGTACTCCCGTAGTATGTGTACCAGTTTAGGGTCAGGCCAAAAATTTATTCCAATTTTCCTCTTTTTAGTTCTTTTATGAGTTCGGGGACTGTTTGTGTTAGCCAAGTAAATATATCTCCTGCCCATAGGCTTCCGTCCCTTTAATCAAGGGACATACACATACTTCTGGAGCACCCATAAAAATCCTATATGAGAAATGCACACAAGAATTGGAAAAAATACATAACACATAAAGGATACAACTTGAGGCATAGCACTTGGTTGCAGCTTGCACAACTCAATAAATTCTGATGTGAAAAAAACATCAGGGTAACTGGGAGATGGCAGACGAAATAATTCTCCAAATAAAACTTCAATGATCATATGACCGATTGGTACTTTGTCTTTCCCAGGAACTATCAGCAGACGAGTTGCACTAAGTATTGAAAAAAAAACTATGATTAATGGTGTAATTTAAAAGAGTGAAATAGCTGTTTGGGAAAAAATCAATAAGTATTACATTTTCTATAAGTTATCTTAGAGAATAGCAAATTAGGTACTCTTGTAGTATGCGAACCATCATGGCGGACACCGGAACATAGTATGTGTACCAGGTTATGGTTAGGCCATAATTTCAGGTAAAAATACTACGGAAGTCACTAGGCTAGTCCCTGAACTCGTAATAGTGCTAAAATGGGAAAAATTGGAATAAAATTATGGCCAACCTTAACCCGGTACACATACTACATTCCGGTGTTCGCCATCTCGGTTCGTTACTACAGGTGTACCGCAAATTATAGTATGAAAACAGGGAGTTTGCATTCTTAAAGTGGAATAATTTGTTTTTGAACAGAAATGTTTTGTTCAAATATTTTGAGCAGAAATGATACTTTTCAATTTAATATTTTAATGCTTGTATATAAGCAAAAAATCTAATATCGTGTAGACTCTTTCTGCATGTGGCAATGTGTCAAAACCTACCATTCTTTTTTATCCAATCTATGAGTTTTGATTGTTTGTGTCAGATATTCCTCAATTAACCATCTCTCTATTGAATGATTACCAGGAATGAGTGGACCCTTAAATTGACAACAAAGAAGATATTAATAATAATTATAATTTAATGGCAAACATTCGCCTGTTTTTTTTTTCAAGTAAATTTTGCAATTAAAATTAACGAATACTCACTAAAAATGAAATTTTCTAATACCTCATAATAATAAATCTATCCTCTTCAGCTTTAAATTCTTTTTAAATTTAATTTCTAATATTAATTTAAAAATTCTGAGATAAATTTGTATATTTAAAAGTTTAAAGTTAGATTTTAATAAAAGTTCAATCAGGCTGATCTTCTGTAGGAATGGTCATACCAAGGAGCTGCAGCCATTCTGGTTTCAAACCATCCCCTCAGTCCTGCTTATCACATTGAAATTCATAAAGTGAAACACAATCCTTAATAAATACAGTCAAATCATTTGACATGATAAGTCTCCCCAAATGGTATCTGTAAATTAGGTCTATTTGTAGGTAGTCAACAGACAAAAGTGGGGCCATGTTCACAACATGACATAAGTACTTCTAGTTACTTAGAAGATGCCATTTCAGCGATTGTAGCTATACTTTGGCTTTGACGTGATTGTGAGGTGGTAGTGACGTAATCTTTGGATGACGGCGTCAGATAGGAGTTAGGAATAGCATATGCAAAAATGGTTGTGCCACGCCAAATAGAAGAATTTACGGCATTTAGTGAACATGCGGCCAAAAGTGTGTCCCACTTTCACCTATAATACGTTTTTACTTTATTTCCTAGCTAAGAAAAATATCAAAGAATACAAAAATCACCTCGATACTGTAAAAAAGACATTACATAAACTTACTTCAGGGCAATCAGTATAATCAAACATTCTAAAAACAACTTTAGGCATTGGATAGGAAGACACTCCCTCAGTATGTGGTGGTGGAACAAATGTAGGAATGTTGTGTTGTAACGATGAAGACAGAATACCATCAAATGCTCGATACGGACGGGGAATCAACTCTTCAGCCCAACTGTCATCAGATAGTTTTACAATCTGTGCCCACAAGCACTCAAGGTACTGAAAAAATCAAAATTCAAAAATTTCTGTTAATTAAGTAGTGAAGTATCAGTTTAGATCAGTTTTTCCCCAAGTTGATTGACCGTGTACCAAAATTAGAAGCGGAATGATATTTGCGGGCCTGGAAAGTGGCGATACTGGTACATATAATTAAGATACCAGTATAATTGAATTTTTACGAATATACACATGCTTAGACTTTGATAATGACGCAACAATTGGCAAAATAACTAGAACACAAAAAGAAAAAAAATATAAAGTGGTGAACTATTTTACTCAAGTTACGCTGGCCGTAACAGCCGAAAGCAGGAGACAAATAAAAAATACTGTCGACTCATACATTAAAGTTAATAAAACAAGTTTTATGGCACATATTCCACTCTGATTTTGTAAGTAAATTGCAAACAATACATGCTAAGGTTGACCCTAGTGATCACAATCCATTGCGAGGCAAAATATTGAAAAGAATTGACATCCCTTTAACAATAAATGCCTATGATCTCACCTCTTCTTGTGGATGTGGTTCATCTGACGACCAGACTCTCAAGAAACTGTGATGGATTTTTTTTCTTTTCCTAGTGATGTATTCATGCAAGGCAGATAAAACTTGATTTAATTCTGTTGACCTCTGATCTTGTAACAAAGCACCAACCCATGGCAGAGAAGTTAATATGGAGTATGCATACCTGGAATAGTTAAAGTATATTTGTTAATTTTAATTAATAAAAGATACAGCCAAAGGTAGCAATTTAATATTATGCTGAAAATGAATCTAGTTAAAAAAGAAAAAGTTAAAAAATATAAAATAGCAATTCAAGTTATTTAAAAATTGTTTTACTATTCAGAACTCAATCACATAGATACCCATTTTAGGTCTAAATGAGCTTATCTACGCCCAATATAATGTTTTAACTTTTAATAATTTTGAAGTAAAATTGTGAAACCAACATATAACATAGTAAAAAACATCAAATGAATAAATATTAAATTACTTAGTTTCGGATATATCATTGCCAGCTGATGTGACTTCTGGCTTCGCTAATATTTGTCAAATTTGATCTTACTTGTCTACCTTATTTTGGATATTTACTTTTCTTTATTTTGGATATATATATGTTCCATCCACATATTTTCAATGTGTTTTTCGAATTATACATACTTTCGCTCTACTATCTGTTATTTGTAGCTTATTGTTAATTAGTTATTTTTGAGCTGGGGCGCGATACTTGACAAATTCTAAAAAGGGGGTGCGGCTTAAGAACCACTGATGTAGAGTATTAAAATACTCACCAATCTCTGCGAGCTTGAGGAACATCTTCTTCTCTAATTACAGTAAATAAATTTTCGTAAAATCCAAACAATGATTCAGGAGTAACCATGTGGCAATTGACAAGATCTGCAATAAACTTCACCTGAAATTGAAATACAAAATTTTAGGAACGTCGACAATAGCAAACAGTATACTATCATGAAGTGTCTCCTGTGTCTGCAATGTAGAAAGTTTTATACAAACATGAGAAACATCAACTATATTTTGAAATTTATAATGCTCTGGGTGATTGGTACGCATGACCCCTTTTTTCATAACTAATGACACCATCTTAGTTAGATTCTACATGTTCTAAATCAGGGGTGTGCAACCTTTAATAATAGAGAAGGGCCAGATACAAATAACTGGGTAAAACTGCGGGCCGCACCTTTATTTAACATAAGCTGTCTAGTAGTTGCAAGCACAAACATTTTGGTTGTTGATCTCATGACATTCGTTGCTCGCTACGCACAAGCAAGCTGTTAGGGCACGGTAACTTCAAAGGCATAAATAATACTAAGATACCACTACTACTGCGTACTACTAAGATACCACTGCAGAATGAATATATATACTTACAACATGTCGAGCATCATCGTACTGATTAGCATTTAACAATCTTTTTAATTCACGAACCATCATTTCAATAAAATCCCCCCCACAATTGTAATTTCGAACATTTAGCAAACCAACGAGAGTTGTGTATATTGTACATTTTTCTGGAAGTTGATAAGAGCTAAAATACAAAATGTAGATGTAAAAATATGAATAAATAAATTTATATTTATATATTTAAATATATATATCAGTACGATATAAATAATTCATTGATCATACCTCTGTAGGTTATTTAAAAACCTATATAAAAACATATATTCCCTTTTAATTCAAGAGCCCACGACCTGGCTTTGAGCAAAAAACACTCCAAAAATTAATACCAATGTATAAAAGGAAGTAATGGCTGAATTTACATTAACATAAATCTTCCTTTTATATGTGCTGTCATATGTTTTATTCATTTTTTAAGAGTTACTCATTCTAAATGCAACCTAAAGTGCTCATTTGAATATAAATATTATACCAGAATATATAATATATGGCAATCACTAATCACATTTGGGTCCCAAATAAAACTGAAACTGCAAACTTTTAGGTTCATAAATATGAAGAAAATTTACATTTACTAAAAAAATCACATATAAAAAATAAAAAAAGTACCATAAAACTAAAATCCTTAAAATTTGAGGTTTGAAGTTTGGTAGATCTGCTTCAAGTACAACCGACAATCCTTCCAAATTGCTTTCCAAGGATGAACTGCTTTTTTCTCCAACTCTACAAATTAATGATTCAAGTCTCTTCTCAATTTCCTCAGAACTTTCCGTAGTCTTTCTTCTCTTTGAGAGATTTCCACCACTTGCTTCAGCTGGATATAATACATAATTTATTGATAGTCTAGGATTCGAAAATATTCTAATAACATATTGGAAAATATTGGAACATTGTTATTCAAATTTAGCAGAATTTGCCACTTTATGAAATTTTTTGCGAGATTATACGATATAGGCAGGCAGTCCTATTTGTATAAATGCAGAAATGAGTACACATGTACACGGATAGTCCTATACCTGCGTCGAATAAAATGTGGTTTGTGAATCGGACATGCTGTCGCTAAAAACACACAATTATGTGAAATATTTTATTATGTGAACAAATGTCTAATGAGATGCCAGGATGCAAAATTATACGGAAAAATTGAACGATTCTCTGTCAGTAAAATCTTCTAAGACCACTATAAAAAAAAGAATAAAGTGTGTAATGGGAGGAATGTTTTTACACTTGTAGTGCTCATTTTAGTAGTTAAACCTGTATACTGAAATAACAATCAATACGATACCTTCATCTTCTGATGACGCGTCCCTTGCATCATGAGGTCTTCTTCTTGACATTTCAACCGAAGGATAGAAACAAATCTCAAGTTTTTTTAGTTATACATTGACTAAATTCTTAAATTTGACTTTCTGAAGTACTGGTACCGGTACTATACAGAAATGACAGAATGAGAAGCTTTTGAAGTTATGTCTCTGTGAAAATTCAAAGTTAACATTCTGACATTACTGCATTAGGTCTTTGTGGGGCATTCGAGGGGATTATTGGAATAGCAGGTCAGCCTACTTGTTTAGCAAATAAATACGGTCAAATTTATTCAAAAGGTTAAAATCAAAATATATTTTTAAAATCATTATTTCTGAATTATAAATCAATTAATTACCAATCATTGATTTCGGTAGTCATAACATACAACTGACATAAAAACAAAATGTAGACAGACAAAATGCAGAAATACCTGGAAGGTAAGAATAACTTAAAACAGTAAAATAAAGTTTAAAAACGTAAAAGTACACGCCCGCCCATCAAAAAAAAATAATAATACAAGCATACAAAAAACACGATTCAGAATCGGGCAAAGCTTCCACATTGCTGAAGGGATCTATGGACAACTTATAACAAAATTTTGTTGGATAAACTTAATGTCGTTAATAAACTTCTAACGACTTCTTCCTTCCAATTATGATAATTGCAGAATTGAGAGATCACCAGAATTTGGTTATTCTAACAATAAATATTGTAAAAATCTGCTGAATTGACTGATTGAGATACTGCTGTACTGAGCTAAAAGTCTCACACTATTATTTTTTTTGATGGGATAATCTAATAAGTAGCCTATAATATATAAGTATAAGTTTTTAGTCTATACTATAATGAAACATAGCTAAAAGTACTGAAGTATATAACCAGGCGAACAGTCATAAAATAAATAATCCGTTATTAATTTTTCATATGTCAGTATGTCTATTGCATCACCAATTTTTAGTATATTGAGTTATAATATGTACGGTACAATAAAAGTGAAAAATTAAATATATTCAGATATTAGACATGTTCATTTTCTATACATAGTCAATTTATACACACTTGATTCATAGTTTAAATACAATTCCTCAGTAGACTATTTCAAATTCCCTGACAAAATTGGGTAATTTTCTATTTTTTTCAATGTTGAGTCTGTAAGTGATTGCAGTTTTTATTTGTTTGATAACTAGGTGCTAGCTGAGAATTTCCTTGTATCCATATTTTATATCTAGTATTTTATTTTTATTGATTGGCTCACCCAATGAGTTAGAGAGAGAGAGAGAGAGAGTTTATTTCATTTTGTCAAACCAAGAAAACAATTTATGCACACATAAACAAATATCAAAAAAATAGTTTTCGGTATAGGCTATGACTGGGGGGCAACGATACGACTTTTGGGGGTCATCAGAGTCAGTTGCCACCGAATTATATTAAATAAGCATAAAAATGAGTGATTTAAATAAATATGCAAAAAAAGAATAAATGTCCAAACAAAATAAGTCCCTATTCCTTTGAATTCCTAATCCATTTGTTGAAATTGATTTTCATAGTTTTTTCAGTTTTTTTTTTTTTTTTTTTTTTTTTTTTTAATGGGATAATATAATAAATTATAACAAAAAGTATATAACCATTCGAGCAATCATAAGATGAATAATCCAATATTCATTTTTCATATGTCCATTCCATCAGTGTTTGAGGTGTTGATCGCATCGGCATACAATTCATCAATTTTTAGTATATTGAGTTAGATTATGTACAATAAACGTAAAAAATTAAATATATTAGACATGTTCATTTTAATATATACTAAATTTATACACACTAGATTTATAGTTCAAATACAATTCCTTAGTATTTCAAATTCTCTGACAAAATTTAGTGATTTTCTATTTTTTTCAATGTCGAGTCTGTAAGTGATTGCAGTTTTTATTTGTTTGATAACTAGGTGCTGATTAGGGGGATTACCTTCGAATATAACAGAATTTCTTTGTATCCATATTTTATATTTAGTGATTGAAATTAAATAAACAATAATATCTAAATCTCGTCTTGTAATGTTGGAATGTAACAAATAGCTTAAATCCAATAAAACACAAGTTTCATAATTTTTCAAAAGCCTGGCATTATTTAATTTCCTAACAGTATTTTCCATAAAATCAAAAACATAATCGAAATATTCACAATTCATAAATAGATGGCTAACAAATTCTGGTTCTTTTCCACATAACACACACATATCATTTCCTGCTATATTTCTTATTCCAGGTTTTGTTTTTACTGGTAAAATATCCCACATTAACTTGAAATTAAAGGTTTTCATATAGTTTGCCAGAATATTATTATGAATATTCTCACATGCAATATTTAAATTACAATTGCGTAGAAAAATTAATCTGTCCCCAGTCATAGAAATAACAATTTTTTTATAAATAGTTTTATGCATATCTTCTTTTATATCTGTACTACTTATGTTATGCTTTCTTAAAAATTCTAATATTAATCTATACTCACTTTGAGGACAAAATCTATGTAAACATGTATTTTTAGTTCTAATCCCCCAAAATGTACTAAGTTGTTGTCCAATATTGTATTCAACAAAGGACATACAAATATGATTGTAATCCTCATTATAATCACATTCTCTAGCTTTATAATAATCCAAGACACTAATTATGTACATGCACATTGTAAAAATGGGTATGTTAATAATATCATAACCCCCCAAATTTTTTGGTTTGCACAAATTCCCTATTTTCAGTATGCTTCTTCCATTGAATACAAATTTTTCCACCATGTCATTCACTCTTTTTCCTATAGAATTTGGCATCGGAAATACTTTCGATAAATATAGAAACTGCGGCAACACCTTTAATTTTACTAATATACATTTGCCCTCTAAAGTCAACTTGATATCCTGTAATTCTCTTACAACATTTTTTGCTTCCTCTAAACATTTCATCCAATTAATTTGACACATATCTATATTCCCAAATGTAACATTTAATATTTCCATGGATTCAACTTCACTGATGTCTTGTTGTGGGTTTATTCGTCTCCAAATTCCAATTCTCATTAATTTTGTTTTAGATTTGTTCAATTTCATACCTGTTGCTATTTGATGCCTTTCAATAACTTTCAATGCTTCTTTTATGGAATTTTCTTTACCTAATGCCAGAGTCACGTCATCAGCAAATCCAAGACTTTTCAATTCATTATTTCCTGGTACAACAATTCCACGAATATTATTTTCTGTGTTTATATATATTATAAGTGGTTCTATTGCAATTATGAAAATAAACATACTAATCGGATCACCTTGACGAATTCCTCTTTCAAATTTAATTTTAGAAGTCAAATACCCATTTACTATTATTCTAGCTTCAGAACCTGTGTATAATTCCCGAATCAAACTTATAAATTTGTTTTCAAATCCAAATTTTTCTAACACTTTATATAGGTACTTCAAATCTACAGAGTCAAAGGCTTTCATGAAGTCCAGTGACAATAACGCATTTTCTCCAATAATATTTTTTTCTTGTTGACATACATCTCTAATAATACTGAGTATTTCACTAATTCTTCTTCCTGGTATTGCAGCTTGGTTTTTGTCTATTATATTAGGTAGTAAACTTTGAATTCTATTTGCTAAAATCTTTGTAATAATTTTGTAGTCTGAATTTAATAGAGTTATGGGTCTATAGTTTTTTATTTCATCTTCTGCCCCCTTTTTGTGTATCAGTGTTATATAACCAATTTTTAAAGTATCAGGTATATGCTCTTCTTCATACATTTCTTTCATTACCAATATGAATTCTTCTTTTATTATGTCCCAGCATTTTTTGTAAAATTCTATTCCCAGACCATCTGGTCCTGGAGTTTTTCCTTCTTTAAAACTTTTAATAGTTTGAAATATTTCTTCTCTTTCTATATTTTGCTGTAATATTTCATTTTCTTCTTGTTGCACTTTTCTCCCTGTTGTTGGTATCCTATTTAAAAAAATATTCTGTAGTGTCTCATTGCATTCAACTTTACTATAGAGTTCTTTGTAAAAGTCTGTTACAATATTCATTTTGTCCTCAAGTTTATTTTGTATTGTGCCGTTTTTGTCTTTCAAGTTTCTAATTGTTGTTTTCATATGTCTGGTTTTCAATTGTTTGAAAAAGGATTTAGTACACTTTTCGTAGTTGTCATATTTTTCTGCAGTATTCTGGATTAATAGTTTTTTATCTTTCTCTTTTGTTTTCTTGATTATTTCACTTTTCTTTTTATTTAGCAAGGTCAAAACTCTTTCTCCATTATCCAATTTTTCCTTAAGTTCTTGTAATTTTTCCATATCTCTTCTATGTTCCTCTTTTTCTACTCTGGACATCTTAACAGAGAATTCAATTACTAGGTCTTTTATTTTTTGTTTTATCTCTATCCACCATAACGCCTTGGATTCAAACAGCCATTGTAATGTTTTCCAGTTATCCCATTTATGTTTCAGTTCCATCATGAAATCATTATTTTCATAAACTTTAACATTGTTTTTCCAATATCCTCTACCTCTTTCTTCCATTGTTGTGTCTACTTCAACTTCAATTATGTATTTATCATGATCAGAAAAAATTGTGGGACTGCATTTATAATCTCTAATTTTACATCCATTTTTAGTACAGTAAAATCTGTCCAATCTTGCTTGAACCATGTTGTTACGCCAAGTAAAAAAGGGATTCGCATTTGTAAACCATTCAATGGAATCAGCTAACTGAAACACTTCTATCAATTGATCAAGAGACTCTGAAACATATTCTCTACGTGGTCTCTTATTCACATTCCCAAAACGGTCCCTATCAACATCATGTACACAATTTGTGTCTCCCCCTAAAAATACATTGAATGGTGAATACACAAAACGATATAATTTATCATAAAACACTTCTTGCGTTCTTACCACAGTTCTACATGGGGCATATATATTTACTAAATGTATTACTTCACCACATATATTTATATCTGTAGCAAGTACCCTTCCCTCCCCATCCCATGAAATATTTTCAAATTTATGATAAGCCAGTTTTGATTTCAGTAATATTGCTACACCACAAGAATTAGATAGCCCCGAATTCCATAATGAATTTCCCCATTTCCAATCCCTACTCCATTTACTTTCTATATCATTGGTACTATGAGTCTCTTGAATAAATATA